TTGTCTAGAAACCTAAAAATAATCAATTATATAATATTATTTTACTCTGTGCAAATATTACATAAACTAGAGGCAAAACCAAATTGTCATATTTAATAATTTGTGGTAAATTGTAGCATAATTCAGCAGATTGCTACACCAACAATATATGCTACAGAAGCTAATATCGGCTATGTTCTAATAATTAACAGTGATTACATCAGCTTCATCAGTTTATTTTACTTTTAAACTGACTCACTCAATTTTACAGACACACACCAGCTGTTCTATATACAGTAACTCCATATTCTGGACTTTAGGTTGTTCTAATGAATATGTTTTGATCTAAACCATTATATTGTAGCTCTTCCTGGATGGTTTTGGTTGTCGTCCTGCTGGAAGATCTCAAGTCTTTTAAAAGCCTCTAGGATGTTTTCTGCAGGATTGCCTCCATCGATCTTCCCATAAATCCTGAGCAGCTTCCCTGACCCTGCTGATGAATAACATCCCCACATTATGATGCTGCCACTACCGTGTTTCACGTGTTTTATGTTTGTCTCCTTTTATTTGTCACTTTTTATAAACTGGTAGGAGAGAGTGTGTAGGAAACGTCTCGTTTTTTTTTTTAGTAAAAGTTGCAGATCCCTGCAACTGTTTCTGTTTAGCTCCTCACCAGGCAGTAATAATAATGGATTCTATTTAAAGTGCTACATCTCAAAAGTCATAAAAACATTAGAAATAAATAACTACAAATCACTAAAACTCACTATAATCAGTTGGGGCCATAGAAACTACAAAACAAAAAAGCTTGCAATATGTGGGAATGTGCTCGTGTTTGTTTTCTTTAAGCTGTTTAAGAAAAACTGGAGTTTTTGAAGGTTTTTCATTTGAGATGCCAAAAAGAATAGGAYTGCAACAGTCCAGTCTTGAGCATAAAAAGGCGTGGACAGGGTTTTTCAGCATCCAGAAAGTGATGGGATGAAACTTGCAATGTATTTTAGATGAAAAAAGAAGGTTTTTCACATTCATWTCATTATCTAAAGAAAAATCAAAGAGGCATGCAGAAATAACAGCTGCTTTTGTTCCTCAGCAGAAACATAATGCACGTGAGGATAAAGCGCAACAAGTTATAAAGGGTTTAAAATGTGAAGTCTTTGACCCTGAGGGGTGACTGAGGTCATCCAGAGGTGGAGAAGCCTGTTTTGATGTGGCCCCTGCAGGGTGTGAAATGCAGGGTCAGACAAGCTGTGAGCAAGCAAACAAGTGTTGGGATTCGACCCCGTGAGAAAATAAGGAACGGGAGCGAGGCGAACAGCAAAGGATGTCTGAATAAATACCCTTGTTTGCTCTAGATTTGTGATTTGTTMTCAACCATTTGTGGCACTACGACTTAAGGTTTTGTGGAAAGTGATCTAYAAACAAGAAAGGGCTAATCAACTCCTTTTTTCTGCATAAAATCTTGTTCTTGTTAGAAAAGCTAAGTGGGTGTGTTTGCAGAGATGAATATTCGTGCTCTGTGACCGGTGTAATGAAGAGGTTGTCTACATTTCCCCACCAATACCTTCAGCTCAGATGGCACCGGCCGTATGGCCTTCACTGACATGCAAGATGATCTGTGCGAATATAATACTGTCAGGAAAGACTTCACCCTCCTCTTCAGTTTGACTGAAGCCCTCCACATGCTCCATCTGAACTGCAGAAATCGCCTCTCTTTGTTGCATGAGGAAAATTTGCATCGTTTTGTTCCGAGCTTTGAGTCTTCTGGCCCTTGTCACAACCTGCGGGGGGAACATTTCACCTCCCTCTGCATAAGAAATGATTATGTGTTTGGTTAGAAGCTTGTTTGTTTATGCTGAAAGCGCTCGGACACCTCGTTTTGCTTCAACTGCTCACTTCCTGAATCCAACTTTTGTACCTGGAAGCAGACGTTTATAAAGCTAAAGAGTCAAAAAAAAAAAAACAACTCGTGAATGGAAATAAAGCAGACGTTTTGCTCGGAGGATCCATCTGCAGAAAAGTGTGGAGCTTTAACCGGGACAGATTTGTGGACAAAAACCCCAGCGGTGACGTGTACCGCATTGGGAGGGGTTTTCCAGGAGCCTAGCATGGTGTGTCTCAGGGGTTGTGAAAGATGTTTGCAAAATCAAACGACCGCGCGTCAACTGTTTGGCTTCCAATAGAATATTCTGGGCCCTTAAGAACAGTCTTGTAATGAATAGTCTTCTGTTTGTTAGGAAAATAAAACCATTACTGAAAAAAATACAATCCCAGTMCATTCTTCTTTTGCATGATAGAGCTTTAACCYGCCTTTGTGGATGCCACTGTTTACAGATAATAATTTGTGATGTTACATACCCTTCACCCTTTTTATTTTAGATCATATACATTTACTTTAACCTTTTTGGAGCGTGRTGCAGAAACAAATTTAAAACGAGTAAATGTTTGCAGAAATAACATTTTATCCTTCTGAACATTAAATATCTCGTCCTAGTGTATTCACTTGATTATAGATTGAAAAGAATTTGCAAATCATTGTTTTCTGCTTTTATTTATGTTTTACGCAACATKGCAACTTTTTTGGAAACTAATGCAGAGATGACATTTGAATCATTTTAATGTTAAATACTCCGGTGTTGTTAATGTTTTAGGGCACAGATGTGGAGAAATGTGGTGATYTGCTTTGAATTTAAACTTAGCACGGTGCAAAAACTTTTCCTCTAACTGCTGTGCAAGGCAAGGCAGCAGTTCATTTAAGGGGCCATTTTTTTTTACATTTGCACACTTTCCTTTGTGGAGCGAAGCTTCTTTAAAACAAGACATTTGATTGCTTTAGCAGTAACACCTTGATGTAATGTAATCAGGAAATGTTCACCGTAAGCCACTGAGAAACACATCTACATCTAGACGTGTATTTTAGGTTTGGCTCACGGTCGAGAGCAGAGAGGCCCACAGCTCCCAGAATGGGAGTTTTGAAATGTTATGAAGAGACGAGTGCCTGGAAGGGACAAAACCTGGTGTGCCTTTGGACGGCCATGTGTTGTTTTAGGTTACTGATTGAATTTTGTCAAAATAAAGAACATCAGACTGTAGTATTTATTTCAGGGTAACTGAGAGGTAATGTCTAATGTGAGCTTTTTTAATGAGTTAGGCTGAAATGATCCAATTAGAGCCCTAAATGTCAAAAGGCAGGCTGGTTTCTGTGCAGTTTGGGGTGCAGAGGCTCAGCACGCCCGGGGCCCCACGCCGCACAGAGGAGTCGGCTCGGTAAGATAAGTTGGCATGCCGTCCTGTTTATCAAAGGGACGTGAGGCGCAGAGCGAGGACTCAGCCAGGGAGGAATGAGCAGAGTCATCGGGCTTCTGAAACACGACGCTGCGTCTTGACGGCCGGCAGCAGCTGTGCAGCCACTGTATCCCTCCGAGCCTGTGTCTCTTTACACGCGCCGAAATGCAGGATTTCATGTTTAAGAGAGGCGGTTTGAACAAAAAAAACATCTGGCGTTCATCTCTGCAATCAGTAGCTTTTAACATGTTTCAGACTGAACACAGGTGGAGATCAGAATGTAATCTGAATGCTGACTCAACATTTATTACACTATTGTTTTCCTGTTTGCAGCTTCTTCTTTAAGTTTTTGGAAATCCTACTTCAGCATACTTTGAAATACTTTAGCCATTCATGTATCAAAGTGTGTAACTGTAATATAATGTGCTTCTGTACTTCTTAAAATATTGAACTTTATTTACTTCAATTTCTGCAGAAACACACTGATATCTATTTCAGCAAACTGACTAAATTTCTTTTACTTCATATTGACTTCCTGTTGCTAGCTTTAGCTTTTAGCTACTGTTTTGCAGATTTCAGTTATACTGTTGTACTAAATCAGGGATGTCAAACTCTGTTACACAAGAGGGACAAAATTCAAAARGTGGTCTAATCCAAGAGCCAATTTCTGTCAGTATTTATTGAAAAAATGTTATATAACYAATKTAAYTATACAATTACCCTTTCTAATTTATGTTTTWTGTAGTATTTAGAACATWCATAACCTAATGAATAAATTTAAAAAATACATTTAGAAAGACTCATCATTAGAGTTAAATTTTTATGACTTATCAACTCTATCAACAACTTTTTGATTTATTACATCTTAGAGATACATTTTAGCACAATCCAGCAAATTGGGTAAGAAAAGAAAARCCTCACTAAAAATCAGTTTTTAAAAATTTTAAAATAAGAAGAAAATACAAAAATAAAAGACAAATGAAGCACAAAAATTATGCATACTAGGTTGCCTTCAGGCCCAGGCTGCCCTTGTAAATGAGATCTGCAATCACAATAGGATTTGCCTGGTTAAATAATGGTGAATAAATAAAATAAATATTTTCTCGGCTTGAAAGTTGGCCAGCTGTCATGAAAATAATGCACTAAATGCAGAGACAAAAAGAGAAACCATAAAACTATGTCACAGTTGAAGCATTACTTTTAGGGCCGAATAAAATGTTAACAAGGGCCAGATTTGGGCCTCGGGCCAGATTTGGGCCTCAGGCCTGAATTTGACACGAGTACAAGCTTACCTTGTTGCTGTTGTGTATGGTATTTATAAATTTCAGCTACTGCTCTGGTAAATTMTGCTTTTGTTTGTTCTGCTCGGTTTGATATTTTGTGTTTGGATCATTTCAGTTTTTGTTTCTGCTTGTTTACCTTCAGAGTCTCCGTTTTGTCTTTAGCAAATTTCAGCAAAGTCACTCAGCTTTGCAATTTCACAAAAAAAGTCAAAATTGAGTCATAAAAGCAGAAGTGATTATTGCAGTTTTTTAACAGCAAATTTGTCTTTACTTTTATCACTAATTTAAACTATTCTGCACATATTAACTATCTTAACCCTTCACAAAAATATCATTATTACAGTGTTTTTTTCTATTTGATCCTTCCTGTCACTTCTCCAGCTCCTTCTAGGGAAACCCCGGTGTGGTGGTCTCTCTCCGCGATGCAAAGATGGCTCCCCTGCTCCCCTGCCCAGGCACCAATTTCTTCCGCCCCTTCACCCGGGAGTCGCTGGTGGAAATCCAGAGGCTCGCAAAAGACAGGCAAAAAGCAGCCGAAGTAGAGGGCCACGAGGGGGGAGAACCGTTGTCCCCGCATCCTGATCTGGAAGCTGGAAAGAGCCTGCCCCTGATCTATGGAGACCCTCCTCCAGAGCTGCTCAACACGCCTCTGGAGGACCTGGACCCCTTCTACAAAGCACAGAAAGTCAGCCTGAGCTCAAACACTCAGTCCGACCTCACAATGACAACACAAATCGACATAAACACATGCCGGGATTCAACATACGTTTCTGTTATTAAAACCGACTCAGAACAGGTGTTAGGTTTCATTTGTGGCATGCAGAAGCTGCAGTTAAATTTTATAGTAGTTGTCATTGCCAAGGATTTATTTAAATGTCTTGAAACACTAAGGAGATGGTTCAGATCTTTTGAAGTGGGGGTCTGTGGAACAGATAATATCTTACCTGCTGCAGTTAACCGAAGGTCATTTGCATTTCCTGAACGGATCTGTTTGTTTTTCAGACATTCGTTGTGATCAGCAAAGGAAACACAATCTTCAGGTTCAACGCTGACCCGGCTTGTTACATTCTGAGCCCCTTCAGTCTGGTCCGGAGAGGAGCCATCAAAATTCTCATACATTCATATCCTTTCAGCAGAACTTTTAATATTAGATTATTAACAAAGAGCCTGGTCAGTTGTAAAACGTTCAGCCTTGTTWTTCAGGGACGACGCCACAAGAATTGTGGTGCCAAACGTGTGTTGTTTCTGTGCTGATTCAGGCTCTTTTGCCTTGGTGAAAAARAACACAGATGAAAGATGGCTTTGTYAACATTGATTTGCCTTMTACTGCGCAGGCTTTCAGTMGSAGGATGAAAAATAATTCTGCCAGCRGTTTCCTTGTTAGCCAGTGTTAGCCAGTGTTAGCCGTTAGCGATCTGTTCTTTTCCTCTGTTTTACAGAAGACCTCTTATTACCACAATCAATTTRTGGCTTCGAAACATAAAGAAAATTTATTTTTCTTTCACTGTTTTGCTAGTTTTAGACATAAACCACTTTTAGATTGCTTTTACACTACAGATCAAAAATCAGTACGGTAATGGTATTTTTGGGATCTCTAGTGTTAAAATATTATCCTGTCACTTGGCTTCATATTCTTTGTGTGTTCAAATAGAAATAARGATGAACTCCTGCAACACAGACAGGTGGAAAAGTTTTAAAATGCAGCATGCTAGAATCATGTTTTTTTAATTTTGGAAAGAAAAAAGCTTTTGTCCAACTCAAATTTGTTGTTTCTTTTTCTCACAATTGCATATCCCATAGCAGAAATGTTTTATAGATACTGTTTTATTTGCTGTTATTCTTGTTTTTTATTTACCCATAACTAAAGCTCTGTATTGCATTGAAGTTTGGCTTGACTGACATGGCAGCGGGTTCTGACGTTATCATTCCATTAAATGGACATTATTAGCGGTTATCAGTCCCATAGAATGGCTTCAGACTGTCCCGACAGTGCTCCCTAGTGGGTTAATATATCAATAACATTGAATGTGTAAATAACAAAAACATTACTAATAACGTCCATTTAATGGATGATAACATCTGAAGTGGGTGCATCTGGATGCTTACTGACACCCCATATTACGTACATAGGGAGCTACTTTTACTAACCTTAGTCTTGTCAGAACTGATCAAACTATTTTTTTTGTCTCTTAAACCATGTGTTCATGTTTGTTTCTTTAACCCAGATTTAAATTATTTAGCATGTTCATCATGATTACAATTCTGTCCAATTGTGTTTTCATGACGATGAGCAACCCACCAGCGTGGAGCAAAACAGTCGAGTTAGTACATTTCAATTCATTGGTCACCGTATTTTAATTATTTCACGGTCATCACTCTTTCTGATTCGTGTTTCATTGTTTCTTTTAAAGGTATGTTTTCACTGGGATTTACACCTTTGAGGCAACAGTCAAAGTGCTGTCGAGAGGTTTCTGTGTCGGTTCTTTTACATTCCTTCGAGATCCATGGAACTGGCTGGATTTCATGGTGATCAGCATGGCGTAAGTCTCTGAGAAAAGTTTCATTTGGAATGTTAAAGGGTTCAGAGGAGTCTACCTTGTATTAAAGCTAATATTGTGCAGATTTAATGAACTGGACTGATTAAATATCATTGAGTCAAACCGAACACAAGTTTCAGATTTTTAAAAAATATATTTTTCTACAGTTACATCACTGAGTTTGTTGATCTCGGCAARGTGTCGGCCCTCAGGACGTTTCGAGTGCTTCGAGCCCTAAAAACAATCACCGTGATCCCCGGTAGGCTTTCTGTTTTCTAATATTTATTTCTGGCTGCCATGAAAGTTGAGGCGGGTGATAAAATAATGGCTTTTGTTTGTCTTTCTGTTAGCAAAATATGTAATGAAAATTATAGATAWTGAGCTAAAATTTAGTGTGATGGTAGCTGAGACTCACCTCCAACACAAACTCTGAGTTCTTACAGATTTAAGAAGCTGACACAATATTTAGTTTAGCTTGACTTTTGTTATGAGATTGACTATTGTGCATGAATGTGAAAGTATTGAATATTAAAAACGAGACTGTTAAGAGCTGAGTTGCTCTTACCCGGGTCATTGGGATTTTGGAGAAATTAGGAGGAGACACCTTAAAGAATTAAACATAATTTATTACAGATTACATGTAAAAACCCACAGAAAACAGATTTGCAAATCTGGGAGAACACCAGACCGATACTTCCCTTCGATCATCAAGTGTCTCGTCTAACTTCTGTAACTCTTGACATTTTATACTGAAGCCTCATTCTTACGTAATGTCTGAGAATAATACATTATCAGTCAGCTGCAGGTGGTCATGTCGGCCTCCTGCGCAGCCATTTGTTCTATTAATCTGCACAACCTTGAAACGATAAGGAACCCGGAGTTTGACCCTGTTCTTCAAACATGTTTTTGACCAGAGTGACACGCACCCACACAGTGAAATTTAAACAGTGACAAGATTACTGATTTTGAAAACCTTGGATACAAGATGAACTGATTATTAACAGAACATAAAATAAAGTTTAAAAGTGTTCCATATTTCAATAAGACGTATTTTTGTCACCGTAACTGGGTAAGCGTCATGTCTTCTCAGGTCTGAAGACGATCGTGGGCGCTCTGATCCAGTCCGTGAAGAAAATGGGGGACGTCATGGTCCTGACGGTCTTCGCCCTGGCCGTTTTCGCCCTCGTCGGTCTTCAGCTGTTCATGGGAAACCTGCGTCAGAAATGTGTGCGGTGGCCCATCCAGACGAATGAAACGGCGTTTGAATTATTCAGCCCCGTTTTTAACGACACACAGAACTTCAACAGTCCCACGGGGGTCAACGACACAATGTATTCCAACATTACCTTTAATTTTATTGAATATATTGAAAATTCAGGTAAGTTTGTCACCTATTTCATTTATTTTACGGCAATTCTTTTTTGTAAGAATTGATTAATTTTTTTTTCCGATTGTAGAAAATCACTATTATTTGGAGGGCAGCCATGATGCTCTTGTTTGTGGTAACAGCTCTGATGCTGGGTATGTAGATAATTTTATCTCTGTTGTCTCTTTAAAGTGCCTGTGACATGCATATCCTTTAAATTAAAAAAGTCAGAAAAGCATCTTTAAATTTAACTTGGCATGACACGTGATTTTTCCCATTTTGTCATACAACTGGCGTATTTTCTTTTGAACTTGGCTCAACTGAAATGAAACAGGAAGTGACATCAAAGGGGAGCTCTTTAAGAAAGAAAACTCCCTGGTCTTTGTTTATTGAACCAATATTATTTAAACTCTGATTCTTCTTCATCCCTCTGATAGAGACTCAAAATAATCTAAAGAAACATCGGTTTCTTCCCTACAGTCTGTGATGTTAATTATAGAAATGCTGCGTTCATATTCAGACATTCCCCATTGACATCACTTTCTGTTAATTCACATGCAAATATCTCAAGAACGGTTCATCTCAGTGGAGTGATTTTTTTCGTGTAAAATGTTATTCATGTAATCTTCCCAAAAATATATATATTTATTGCAAAAATGTAATGTCACGGGTACTTTAAGATGTTTTGCTTTCATAAATGTTGCAAATCAAACAGTCTGAGATGAGACGAGGTGTTGATAGTGTTTCTCTAATTATATTTCTGTGTTGATAGAAAGTGCCCAGAAGGATACACGTGCATGAAGGCAGGGAGGAACCCTAACTTCGGTTACACCAGCTTCGACTCCTTCGGCTGGTCCTTTCTTGCCCTCTTCAGACTCATGACGCAGGACTTCTGGGAGAACCTTTTCCAACTGGTTGGCACTTTTTAAAAATGTGTTACATTATTGTTTGTAGGCCCTTTATCCAACCTGAATAGCAGTTAAATATATGAGAGAAAACTGTCCTAAGTTCTTGTAGCTTCTTTTTTGCTCCTGACGCAGATCCTACGAGCAGCTGGAAGGACATACATGCTTTTCTTCGTGGTGGTTATCTTTCTGGGCTCCTTCTACCTCATCAACCTCATCCTGGCTGTGGTGGCCATGGCTTATGACGAGCAAAATCAAGCAACTCAACAAGAGGCCATCGAAAAGGAGGCAGAGTTCCAGCGTCTGTTGGAACAGCTCAAAAATCAAGAGCAGGTAGGCACTGGAGAATCTGCACTTCCTGCAAAAAATGCAGCGCGAATGCTTAATGCTGAAAAACTTTTTCTCAAAGCTGCTGTACAAGCTGAAAATGTTTAATAGCAAAACGTTTCATGTGAGTTAAATTTGATTTTTGATGAAAATAGGAAAACGAAATGAGAAGTTCAAGAAGTTCCAATAAAAACAGCTAAAGCAACTGAGATAAACAAAAAATAGCTAAAAAAGAAGCTGAAATAGCTGTAATTAGCACACAGATGAAGAAAGAGTACATTTGCTAATTTAAGCGGTAAGAAGCTGAAATTATCACACAAAGTTGAATTTAGATTAAAAAGGTTACAATTGGATGAAAACAGAGTAGCTAAAAAGCTGCAGAAAATGCTGAAATTTGCAGAAATCAACAAAAAGAAGTAGAAAAGGCATAAATTAGCAGAAAGAAGCCTAAAAAGTTGAAAATAAAAGAACAGCTGAAAAGAACATCTGAAAAATCTGAAAAAAAAACTAAAATTAACAACAACAATAAAAAAGAAGTGGGAAAAAGGCAGAACCCAAACAAAAGGTGAAATGTTCAGTAAAAAATTCTAAACATTTTTGAAAGGTTTTTAGTACCAAGTAGTTAAAAAGCTGAAATGTTGCAGAAAACTGCTGAAATAAGTATAAATCAGCTAAAAATTGCTTCAAAATTTACTACATTTGAGCTATGTTATTATTTTGACTTTAACACAGTAAGTGGCATTAATCAGTGTTGTATAAAATACCACAAAGTGATACTTGAGTAAAAGTACAAGTACAGTATCTTAAAATGTCCTGATGCATCTCAGTAATCCAGGTAAAAAAATCAAAAGGAAAAAAATTGTATAGGTCCTCTGG